CAGTCAGGTGGCGGTGGCACACACTTTTATTCCCAGCACTACGGACGCAGAGGCAGGAGGATCTCTGTGAGTCTGAGGCCAGTCTGGTCTACAGAGCTAGTTCCAGGACAGGCTCTAAAACTACAGAGAAACCATGTCTTGAAAAACCAATATATCTACATACATACATACATACATAGCGATAAATGGAAGATGTCATCGATGGAGAAACTATGATGGGGGAGGGGCACGGGGAAGTCTTTACTGTGTTCTTTTTCTGTGAATCTATAACTACCCTAGAGGTACATTCTGGTTTTTTTGTTTGTAAATCACACTCTCTGAGATGCGCATGGTGGAGCATACCGGTAACCAAGCACTCACGAGGCAGAGGCCGGAAGGTGAGCTTGCGGTCAGCTCGGGCTACAGCGTAAAAGCCTGTCTCGAAGAAGCTGAGTAAGAGCAAGCTGGATGGTTCCGAGGCGAAGCGTTCACAACGGCCTGCCAGGCTGAGTTCCTTCTCTGGAGCCCCTGTGAAGGTGAAGGAAAGAATAAACTCGACAGAGCTGCCCTCTGGCCTTCCAAGGCACACCGAGGAACAGGCATGCCCCCATACCTCATACACACAACCAACCATAAAAAAAAAAAAAAACATATTCTTAAAGCAAATTAAAAAAAAAAAAAGATCACATCACCCAAGCTGCCATGCCCCTCCGTGGCTTCTCCTGTTTACATCTTTTCACCATTTAAACTGCTGTGTATTGACCTCATGTATTCTATGACCTGGACCTCTGGGATTTAAACCTCCTAAGGCTTTCTGTCTGTCCTGTGTGCCCAGAACTTCAGCCAATCTGACAATAAATATTTGTTGAATGATAAATTTCCACAGATAGTCTGTTAGCTTTTCCAAGTGCCCTCTGTGCCTACATACATGGCCATTGTTGTAGGATAAACACAAGATTATGCCTCAGTGCTCGGCTCTCTTTGTTAGCTTCTGATCGCTTTTCCACGTTACTGTTTTCCACTGTCATTTTCTAGCCTGTGCTGATGTTGGCAGGCCAACAAATGGTTGAGATTCAAGAGGCACAGGCTTTGGGGCGTCTCTCCCTCTGTGTCGGCTCTGCCAGGCTGCCACATGGGCAGGAGGGCTGGAGTGATGCCAGGACTGGCGGAGGCCACTCCCTCCCTCTGACATCAGACCTGTGGGCCCTAGATCCTGCTTGGTGGTGAACCAGGTGCGTCAGAACCCAGGGATTAAATAGATTTGGAAATCCACTGACTTGTCTTCTACCAGCCAGAAGCTGAGAAAGGGCAGCCAGACCATCGGCTGGGAGCAGTCAGCCCTCTGTCCAGATGCCTGTCAGCTGTTTCTCAGCTGCTGCTGTCTGGTTTCTTGTGTGGAGGCTGGAACCCAGGGCCTTACACAGGCCAGGTGCTCCACCCCACCTGTTTTGCTGGTGGCCTGGACAGGCCTCTGGGGGACTTGATATGTTGGAGGAGGAAACACTTGGTGTGTCTACAATGGGGGCAAACAAGGGGTACCCTTAATCCAACCACCCGTCTGCCTTTGTGATAGCAATACGAAAACTTCCCAGTGATTGTGCGACATTCCAGCGCCGAGGATAAAAATATCAAAGGGCAAATGCCCCTGGAAAGTGTGCCACGTGCTCCTGAGTTCCCCCAGCTCCCCTAGGAACCAAGATTGCACTCCCACTCCAGGGTTCTGTCTCTGTAGCTTTAGACACGCTGTGAGGATGCAACCATGTTATCTGCATTTCCACACGTGTCCCCTTGCTCCAGCATCTGGAAGAAGCCCCAGTGTGCACAAGTCAGTGTTACATGCAGTGTACTTGTCTGTGCTTGCCTGGGCACCAAACTAAGGCCATGTGTGTGTCCATTTGCACGGCTTTGTGATTTGCCTCTTTGCCGTTTTAGGTGTGAGCTTGTATGGTGTATGGGTTTGCATGTGTGTGTTGCATGCACCGTGGCTGCTCTTCTGTTTTTGTGGGGGAGAGGCTTCTGCAAGATGCGTGCACGCTCCTGCAGATCCGCTTGCCTCTGCTTCGTGTGACCTTGAGTGTGTGTCTCCTTGGGCATGTGCCTAGACATATGCACATGTATGCCTATGCCCACAGTCACGGTGGCCCCACACACCTGCTCTGGCAAGCCTGCCGCCCCACCCTACATCCTTTTGGCAGGATGACTGGGTCCTTCCATATCGCACAGGTGAGCTGGCCTCTGCTTTTCTCATAGCTTGAGTTACTCAGGCTCGCCCAGAGTTTTCCAGCATTCGCACCTGTGTACCTATGCCCCCATCCCCCTAGCTCAGTGTTTGGAAGTTCCCCAGAAGAGCCAGCCTTCCGAGATGGTCTGAAGTGAAGAGACCAGGTGAAGTTAGCTCAGTGAGGAACTGCCAGGGATTATTTGATACCGGAACCAGACCTGAATTGATAACACTTTGGTGGAATAGGGAAGTCTGAAGTGTCATGAGAGATGGCCCAGTAACCCATCCTCACCCCCCCCCCCCGCTATGAGGTTGTGTCCCCAAGTCTGGTTGGTCACTGTTGTGTAGACAGGCTCAGCTCAGCCATTGGGACCTCTAGTTTGGGAAGCTCCCCCTGGCTCCCTACATCTGGGACAGCAGGGAACCCTGGCCATATCCTGGGGAGTCATACCAAGGACACCATTGAGAGCCTACTCCAAGCCTCCAAGAAGCAGGGAGTGACATGGCACCTCCTTCCACTGGCCCTGGCCAAGATGCCAGGGCAGATAATATCCTGGGCTCAAGGAGGAAATGTCACTGGCTTTTTGCTTCAAGACCCAGAGCTGCATGTAGGAGGGAGATGGAAACACCTCCCCCCAGGACTAGAACCTCTGCCCCCCAGCTTTGTACCTGCCCTGTCAGATACTAGCCAGTCCTAGGACCCAGGCAGCCTCATGGGCAGGAGACCTAGAACACCCCTTGAGTAGGGGTGGGGTAGGGAGAGCCCATGCTTTCCTACCAATCCATTATTATTATTATTATTATTTTATTATATTATTATTGAGACAGGGTTTCTCTGTGTTGCCCTGACTGTCCCAGAACTCTCTCTGTAGACCAGGCTGGCCTAGAACTCAGTGAGATCCACCTGCCTCAGCCTCCCGAGTGCTGGGACTAAAGGCACACGCCACTATGCCCAGCATCAGCCAGTCCACTCTTAATCTAACCACTGCTTCCAGAGAATAAATTGGTTGGGATGGCTCCGTGTTCCCTCTTCTCCCTTAACTGTAAAAATAAATCTTTAAAATAATGCAAACACCATACAAACACAGGTGCTTTGATGGAAATAATACGAAGAGTAAAACTGATTTATTTCATCCTCACCACCCCTCACCTTAGTTCCCACAGCACAATTTACTGTGTTAATAATTCATTATATCACCTTGGGCATGATGGCACACACCTTTAATGCTCAGGAGGTGGAGGCAGATGGATCTCTCTGTGGATCTAAAGCCAGCTTGGTCTACAAAGTGAGCTGCTGGACAGCCAGGCCTATGTAAAGAGACCTTGTCTAAAAAAAAAAAAAGTTCACTCTCGCCTCTTTTGAAGGGACCCTGGAAACGGCGCTCAAGGCCTTGGGAATGCCGGACAATGCTCTGCCACTAAAGCAGCCTTTGTTTTTTTGTGTTTTGTTTTGGATTGTTTGTTTTAATTTTAAGACAAGGTCTTGCCCTTGATCTTCAGGCAGCCCAGGCAGGCCTGGAGCTTGCGAGGCTCTTACTCAGCTGCTGGGACTAGAGGCATGCCTCACTTGGTGTACAGGTTACGGTGGGAGACGGCTCAAGCAGGAAAGGAGCTTGTCCACAGTCATTAGCGAACTGGATCCGAATGCTGTCCTTTGACTTCCCCAGGAATGCTTTGGCATATACACACACCACTGGAATAAAACGTAAAAAAACGATTTGTTTCACGTTTATTGGCGGTGTTGGACATGTGCATGCCAAAGGAACTGTGTGCAGGCCAGAGGCCAAGTCTGGGCAGTAAAACTAGTTACTAGATGGTCTGTCTTAGTAGCCCTCCATTCTCTTTTCCTTTTGAGACAGAATCTCATTCATGTAGCCCAGGCTGGCCTCGGACTCACTACATAGCTGAAGCTGACTCTGACTGCTTGATGCTCTCGCTGCCTCCTCCTCTTCTTCCTCCTCCTCTTCCTCATCCTCGTCTTCCTCTAGCTGGGATTCCAGGTGTGGACGAGTACATTCGGTTTATGTGGTGCTAGGAATGAAACCCAGGCCTCCAAGCACTCTAGCAGCTGGGCCACATTCTCTGCTCCATATACAGATTTAAATAAAAAGACACAGATACAATCATAGTCTCTGTATTTCCTCTGCTTGCTTAAAAAAAAAAAATCGGATCCACGTCAACGCGTCTCAATCTCCCCTACTTTCTTTTAAATCCGCGACTCGGTATTCTGTGTCTATTCTACACCTCTCTCCCCTGTTGAGAAGCGTGCTATTTCCTTTCCTTTTTTCTTTTTCTCCTATTTCCAAAAGTACCATGTTGCAACAAACACACGTCTTCCAGCAGGTGCTGGGTGTGGGGCATGCGGGTGAAAGATGCATCCCACCGCGTCCCGCACCGCAAGGGTCAGCGGGCAGTGAGAATCAAGAGTAGGTTGGAGACCACTGAGCACCGCCGGTGCCGGTCTACAGGCTCCCGGCTCCGCCCGCGTCGCCCCCGCCTCGAGCAGGTCGGTGCTGCCGTTTTTAGCGCTCCTGGAGCGGGGAGTACAGACTCCATCACCCCCGGGAAACGCGGCCATCATATTTTTGGTTGCATAAGCAAACGAAATTAGAAATGTGTACCGCGCT